CAAACGGGCGGGTTGTGAGGAGAGACGCAGAGAAAGACAACAGCGTTTTTTTCTTTCTTCCATCAACTTCTTGTTGACTATTATTTTCTCGGTAATCTTAAGTATCTTAATCACTTTCCTTCTTTCTTCTTTTGAAGAAAAAAAAGAAATATAACATGGCTTCTGTATATGTATCCGTGAGTTAAACTTCAGCTTGATACACATAGAATGATCTTTATTTTAGGTAAAAGCACGTATTTTGAAAAGAAAACTTAATGAAGTGTATAACATTGTGAAGATAAAGTAAGAATTTGATTTCTAATTTTTCTTTGTTTTGACTTCGGTTGATCACTTATTTCAAATGTCTTAGATACCACATGGGCGATATGGATTTGGATCAGATGGTGGTCCATCATAATGCTATGTACCAGAGCATTCAAGAGATGTATGCTCTACTGGGAGATCCATCAGGTAGCAAAACTTTTTTTTTCATATGAACTATGTGAGCAGTAATCCTTTGTGATAAATTTGAAAACTTTCTTCTAATTATTAAAAAGATTTTTGTTCAGTCCGTGGTCACGAAGAGCCAAAGCTTCGCAAACCGGAAGTTAACGCAGTGAGTTTCGTTTTCTTTCTTCAAGTAAACACAAAAATATATTATTAAACTAATAAAAAGTATATAATCATTCAATAACGGAAAACTATGTTAAGCGTTCATCCACGATTGCCTTGCTGAAAAGATTAAAACGACAAGTTGAAGCTGCTTGCTTGCTGGCAGATGATATTCAAAACGGTATTCATTTTATTCCTTCAGAATTTATATCATTTTCTGACCTTTTTAATAATATTTGTTACTATTTTTTTAGGTCCTCTCGCCAATGAAATGGAAGTTGAAGCCTTAGCGGTTGTTGAACAGGAGCTGGATAGGCTGTATGACATAGTCTCCGTTTAGGAAGATATTTCATTTTCATTATCTTCACATGTCGTTTTGTAATTATTTTCCCAGACCTATTGATTAAACCTGTCGTTTTCCTTTCTCTGTTTATGAGACTTTTCTGATGTCGTATTCCATAACTGTATCTGTAAATAAACAAATTACTGGAGTATGAAGGAACTATTGCAGAAGTTGTCACGTACACGTATGCCATAAATCGTTTTTCGCGAGGGCAGGCAGGTAAATTTGTACCATTTATTAAGTATACTTACTAAAAATTTCATGTCTAGGGAGGCTCCGCCTAGAAGCCCCAGCTCCTCCATCTACTCACATGGTCGGTTCCGTTTTTTTCTTTTCACCAGAACTGTTTAGAACTCACAAGCCATGCCGTTGTAGAGTACTCTGCGCCAGCAGGTGCAACTAACCTGTTCCCTGTCAGATGCAGAAATTAATAATTTCCTAGAAAAAATATCAGGTAAATTTATACCATTTCTTTATATTATTATAACGGATTTGTCTTAAGTTCGAGGAAACAATCATCTGGACCTAAGAAATCCAACTGTTCACCCTGTTCGTTTTTTCGCATCAGAATTACCCCAAAAAAATGAAATTGAACTTGAACTTTTTAGAGATCATCCATAAAAAATCTCTTATCACGAATGGAAAATCAAATCGAAAGAGCATGTGAATTGGCCGACTCAATTCATTTAGGTATTTTTTTATTTTTTGAGAATGAACGTCTGATATCAGATTCTATTAATATTGATATTTTTTATAGGACCACCAGATAAACAAATAAAAACCAAAAAATAAGAAAAATAAGATGTCTCCTGCTTATGTATCTGTGAGTTAATTTTTAGCTTAATATACATAAAATGAACTTTATTTTAGGAAAAAGATCTTTTTTTGAAGAGAAAATTAAATGATGTGAGGAACTTCTTAGAATTAAAGTAAGAATATGATTGTTCGTTTATCACTTAATTTACTTGTTTCAGGCACGTGGATATGGTGATGGATGTCTCAACGTATGCTGTCTACTGCCATGCACTCTTCCGCAGTGCAGAAGCGGTAGAGCTGCATCTCTCCAGGCCAAGAAGTAAGTGAAAAATAGACAGAAAAGAGATTTTTTCTGAAAAAACTGATAACTAACTGATTTGTTTCTAGTCCGAAATGTTGGTGAAATTTCAATAGGCGATATCCACGAAGTAAGTTCCTTTTATTTTTTTCTAACCAAAACTTTTAAGATGACTGCACCTAAGTTCCTTCTTTTGGCGCTGCGCCGCCAGGTGCATGCGGCGTGCTTCTTATCCGATGCTGCAGAAGGAGGTATTTTTTGGTTTCACAAGAAAGTTTGATATATATAATTTTTTTTAGGGCCACCACTTAGTCAGGCAGAGGTTGAAGCTCTGTCGAAAGTGGAGGAAGAGCTGGAGAGGCTCTACAATATCGTCTTTCCGGAGACTTCGCCGCGAGCCTCCGATACAGACTCGGATTCCGATTAAATAAAACTTAATGTATTGGTTAAAAATTTATTGAAATAAAAATTTTAAAAATTGTTGTCTTGCTGATAAAAATGAAGAGAAAAAGAGAACAGAGAGATGAAGTTTTAAAATTTTGTATGAATGCGGTAAATATGAATTCTCCAAATTTTTTTAGAAAAAAAATGAAAACGTGCTCTATTGCCAATCTGCTATCATTGTAGTGAATTGTTGTTTATTTCTATCATTAGGAAGCTTTTTTTCGCATTTGTTTTGTAAAATCTTTTGTTCTTCCTCTTGCTCCCTCTTCGATATCTCAATTTAACCATCTGTTCCAAGACGGTAACTTCTGAATATATTAAAACTTTCGTATTCTTCTCATTCAAGTAGACGAATCAATCATTCCCAACTATATTCTTTCATAACGTTGATCAATCTAATATTCAGTGTAGAATGAGCAAGAACATCTTGAAAAGAAAAAAACTTGCAAAAGATAAGTTACCCTAGGAGAAGTGCTTGATAAGAGTCCTTGTTAATAGATCAGGAAAGATAAGAGAATCATTCCAACTGATTTGAGCTAAACCCTCCATCTTATTTTCCGCTGTTACGGACATGTTGATGAAAGCTCTCGTTCTTCTCCTTCTCTCAATCTATGCTGAAGGAACTATCATTTCTACAAGTTTGGGTCAATTGAGAGGGAAATCCTTGAAAACACTGACTGGTAAACACGCTCATTCATTCAAAGTTTTGCTCTTCTCAAATATATCCAATTTCATATGACTTTCAGAGAGTTCCTTTTGCCGAGCCTCCTGTGAATAGCTTGAGGTTTGCTAAACCTGTCTCCAAAAAGCCATGGATAGGACTACTGGATGCGACTGGTTACTCTACATGTTGACCTCATCATAAAATACTATTCAGAGTATGGACCTGCTTGCATGACAAACATGTCGCTGTCAAGCTCAATTCCAGATTGGGTTGATGAGGATTGCCTTCATCATAACATCTTCACTTCGAACTCCTGCTTAGTACGTTTCCTCTGTTCTTCGGGAATTTTATAGTACTTTCAAGAGAAGCAAAAGTTGCCCAGTAGTGTTCTTCATGCACGGAGGCAATCTGATGATGGATTCTGCCGTCATGTTCGATGACCAAACGATTCTCAACACGTTTTGCGAAAATGGTATTAAGAGAGACAGGAAGAGAGATAAAAACAGAAAAATTCTTTTTTATTTGCACAATTCGCTTATCAATATAGACCTCCAATTGTTTCTTGAGCTTATTATCTATATAGAGGAAGCTTTCCGCTATTCAACTTTTCTTTCAGATGTTGTTCTCGTCATAGCCGCTTTCAGGCTAGGAGTGTTCTCGACAATCACTTTTGGGTCAGATGATGTTATACCTAGAAACCTAGCCACATATGGTACTTTCAAGCCTTTCTCCTCTAATACTGTTTTTTGAAGATATGATTAATGGACTCGAGTTCGTCCAAAACGAGATCCGTTCCTTCGGAGGTAACCCCAAGGATGTCACAGTTATGGGACATTCAGCTGGTGCAGAACAAGCAATTCAGTTAGCATTCAGTAAAGTCATCGATCCTCACAAAAGGTAATTTTATCGAACAAGCACAGTATACTGATAGTAAGACTATTTCACAAAATGATAGCCATGTCTCCTGCTATTTACTTCGCTGATGAGAGACGATCTGTAGATCTATCATGGGAGCTTTCTTACCGTGTCAATGTAAGTAAACTGTTTCCAATCGTTCGACATTTTGTGTTTGGTGTTCCGTTACCAATCATCCTTTGAACCCTGAATTGACATATGTCCAAGAAGCAGTAGACTGTCTTAGGAGAACAGATCAGTTTGAGCTTTTGAGGTAACTCAAGTAAATCAAAACTATTTTTTTTTCTTTTAGAGTCCAAAGAGAACTGGAAGTCGAACTCTTCTACAATAATCGAATAATGATGGTTCCACCCTTGTTTCATGGAAACGAACTCTTGGATTTTTTAGGAGAAACATCAGTGGTAAAATAATATGATAAACTGCTCTCTCTCTCTGCATTGCCTTGTTATAGTCGAGACCTCTTCTGATTGGATCTGTTCGATTCGAAATTCCGGAAGATGGCCCGTGGCAAATTCAGAACTCTAAGTTTAGCAACCATAAGTTTCATGAGTTTCATAACCCGATACAAGTATTACGAAAGTACAACTCAGACTTTGATAGTTTCAAACTGGGAGAGCTATATGGTATGCGAATTCTCTAACTCAACAACAGTTAAGTTCAGATTTCTTTCTTCAGGTTTCAACCACAGCCACATTTCCCAAACCGTTTTCCTCGGAACATCTACGGTAGCGCATTCCATGAGAAAAGCTGGCGGAAATGTAAGATGATGTTTGCTTCTTTATCTCTTATGATATACATTCCAGGTGTTCCTATACTCATATGAAAACCCGAAACATGCAGAGCATACAGATGATCTGTATTACCTACTCGGAACGCATCCATTCGAGAAAGATGAAAACGAAAAAGTTATATCAAAGCTATACGTTCAATACTTCATGAACTTCATCAAGACTGGAACTCCAGATCCCCGTATGTAAGGAACAGCTATCAGATTAAGAAAACATTTCAGAGTGGCCACCTTTAGAAGCTGATCTAAATAATTACATGCATATAGATGTGGACATTAAGAGTGGTTTGAGACCTCATATGAGGAATTTTTACAACAAGTGAGTCAGTCATCTATCGCAGAAGACTACTGTCTAAAATCCTATAGAAAAGTATTAGACTACTGGCTCAGAGATATGGTTGAGTATGATAAGATGTTGAAAGGTGATGAAGATGACGCTTCTCCTCGTCAAATGATTTCTCTAAAGGTTCGTTTGTATCTGACAAACCGATTCAATGAAATCACATTCTCCTTCAGTCCGTTTCTTCACAAATCTCGGAAGATTCTCGCTCATGTTCGGCCAATGGAAGAAACCTATTCTCATTGTTAATCTCGTTCCTTCTAGGATTACTTGTGTGCTTCTTACTCATCAAATGCAACAATCGAAACCTCCCGAGTAATTACATGATCATCCCTTCATCGATTGAGAAAAGCAATAGCTTGTTCTGATTCTTTGCCTCAATTAAAAGGCCTTATGAGGCCCCGAATACGAATAATGTACTTTCTGAGATGTATAGTCTCAAATGAGACTGTTTTAAGTGATAACAACATTTTTTCTTTTTCTTTCTCTTTTCTCTCTTGAATGTTCGGTGATCCATGACTATTCGTAAGACTCCAGGTTTGAATTCGATTTTTCTCTGTAAAATCCTCAAAAAGAATGCTCTTACTATGGTATGGTATGAACTTGTTAGTCAGATGATCCTACGAAAAGTGCTAGTGCTTATACTCTTTCTATTCAGTTTCGTATGCTCTCTCCAAACATGCTATTTGTTCCCTACACAGTTCAGTCAAGAACGAGTTATCCCCTCGTAACCTTTCATTGACATAAACACGTAGCGTACGGCGCGGATGTTGTATAAATTAAGTATATATTATATATATATATATATATATTAAGGGAAGGTTTTTAGCTAACATCGACTCATGGGTTGGAGGAGTACTCGAAAAGCGTTAACGTATGTGGATGGACTGTAGTAGGCCTCATCTCTGGTTTGTGAAAATATTTTATGAACTCTTCGGAGGACCTCCAGACAGAAATATAGGGACGTGAGGATCACCGGTTCCCACAGGTTCAAATCGCTAACTGACGTGATTAAGGAGCTGCAGGGGTTATAGACTCTTGTGGATACACGCCATGTGAAACATATTCTCAGGAAAGTTGTAGATTATACAAAAACGCTCGGTGGTTGTCTGTAGGTCAAACGGTCTAACTCTGTGTTGTTTAGATACAAACGGGCGGGTTGTGAGGAGAGACGCAGAGAA